ATTTTGTTTTAGGCTCAAATCAGGTACTACAATTGATATCCTAGACTGGTTCATTCATATATAGTTCACAAAAATTGATTATCATCCAAACTAAATATTTAATTGCAAATAATTAAAAAATGACAAGAAAACTACCGACATAGAATTGCGAGGTAGAACAATTAATATTTTTACACTAGTATGGTAATAACACCGCAGATGATAGAACTGTAGAAACCAAAAGAAAAATGTATGCAATTAACACAGTGCAGTTGAATTTATCAATATAATTAATTACACACAAAATCGTAATTCCAAACCAAACTAAAATAATTTATTAATACATATGCAGTTATTTATCTGCTTCTCCACGACAAAGTTTTCTGACCATGAAACCCAAACCTGTTCTGCCTCAGGCTGGTTCTATTAGTTTTATGTTTTTGCTACTCAACTTGCATATGCCTTTGGCAGCAAAACTAATTGGGCCTTCACTTCTCATGGATTTGGGCCATGATAATTGTGGCCTTGTGGATCATCAGCAGCTTCAAGGAGTCGTCCATCTAAATGGTTCCCAAACAATTGGAACTCGATAATTAGTAACCCATTATACACAAAATATTCAAATAAAACAACACAAATAATGAAATTAAAGGTTTTTAGAAACAATAAAGCAATTGAAAGTTGAAGCACTCATTCTTGATTTTTGCTACATCAGAAATATATATCAATTAGTTTAATTTTCAAGATTTAATAGTTTCACTTACATGCTTTGTGATGAGGCTCAGATATCCAAAGGGGTTGCCTTGCTGTTGCAAGATTCATTGATAAGAGAATCAAAAATAGCAAAACCATGTTTAAGAGAAGCTTCTTAAAGTTAACCATCTTAGAAGGTAAAACTATAGAAAGGATGCCCAACTAAAAAATAATAATGACATAGAAAGCTAAACCGTATATATATTTAACCTGTTGTTCTACAATATGTGAGCATTGGATGGGAAGTTGGCTATATATAGAGAGAGGGAGAGAAAGTTAAACAGATTTTGGAAATATCTTATGTGCAACGGAGGTATTAACATGGATTAAAATGTCAATTTGGGTCGTTCAATATAAATATATATCACGTTAATTTGAGAGAATAAATGTTGAGAGTTGAAGGGAAAAAAAAAATTCAGTGTGTAGAAAAAGAATTTAAAAGTAACTTTTGTTATGAAAAAAAAATGTAAAATGTTGAAAGAACATTTCAATTCCAAAATTAATTTCAGATAACGATAGTTTCTTTTTTAAGTTAATTAATAATATATAGCTATTGAACTTCAACTGCCTTCAATTTAAGTTCTAAATTCTCACAAATAATAGTAGAAAAATCGCAACACATCATAACTATTGACTGTGTCAAAGTTTGAATTCTAAGGGTTAATTAGTCAGCAGATTTGTATAGTATAACAACTTTGCATGACCGGCGTCTTGTATTTGAAATAAAACAAGTCAACATTCATCCATTTTCCTATTTAAAATTACACCCAAAAAAAAGAAAAATAATATATATATATAATAATATATATATATATATATATATATATATATATTCACTTACTTTTAGAGTATGTCTTAGTAGACTTACTCTACTCAACAACTCATATTCTACATCAAATTTCAGCAATCCAATCATTAAATTAAAAGTTCTAAATGCATAGATCAAGTCTGCAAATTTTTAAAAAAATTTAAAAATTATTTGATACTTCATTTCATTAATTCAAGTTGATGGATAATCATAAAAATATTTTCTATATTGATTTGAATTAATTAAACGAAGTATCAAATAGTTTTAAATTTTTTTAAAAAAAAATTTAACATCATTTATATATTAAGAACTTTTAATTCAACAATTAAATCATTAAAATTTTATGCGGAATATGAATTATTAAGTAAAGTAAATAAAGGTAGACTTACTCTTGATATAAGTGGATCCCTCCTCACACATACCTAATTCACATGTAAAAGAAGAAATATGTTAAAAAATATATATTATGAAAATCTCAATCTTTATTTAGGGGAGTGTATGTTGCCGCAAACTTTGAGTAGACTTTGATTTTTTTTTATAAATAAATTGCTCTATTAATTTAGTGTCAAAATTTGTTGACATTAGGTATAAGTCTTAAAATTTATATAAAATCTGTTATATTTAATAATTTTTTGTATGATGCAAATTTAATCGATCTAATTGTTGAATTATGTAATATTATATTCAAGATTATATATATCAAATTTTTTATGATTTTAAAATTATTTATTATTAATTATATTATTTTATTTTAATATATAATATGATATTTAAAATATGTGTAAATATTTATTGTCAAATAATATATTTTTAAAAATTTAAATTATGTAAAATTTGATACCTAATCTTAAATATAATTGTAAGTATCCAATTTCACCAAGAAAGATATTAATCTTTTTGACAAATATATAATAAAATGGAAAATAATAAACTTAAAAAAAGGGAAAATACAAATAATAGTAACATGAATGCAATGTATCTTTGACATGCATGTATCAGTTTTCAAAGAGCATTATAAAAAATAAAAAATAAAATAAAAAATAAAAAAAGAGAGAGATATTTTGATATTGAATTGGAAGGACTTGGTTATTAATGGTGACAGATTTGCCTGCAAAGGAGGTCATTTTCGAAAGGTAGCAATCAATTGCGTCGGAGATGAGAGGAACTTCTAGCCTCTCCCATACATCATCATGTCATGGCACTATCTTATTTCTCATGCATGGTCTCAAGGCCTACATAGGCATACATAAAATCGAAATTCAAGGGTAGGAAACGTACACCATATTAGACCACAATTCTACAATTAGAAAAATTAATTAGTTAAGTTAATTATTCTGTTTGGTGTGTTTTTTTTTTTTATATATACAACACAAACAGAATAATTAACTTAACTAATTTTGCTAATTGTAGAATTGTGGTCTAATACCCCCTGCAAGCTGGAGAGTATATGTTGATGACTCCCAGTTTGGACAATAAATATTGAAAAGGTGAAAGATCAAGAGGTTTGGTAAATATGTCAGTTAATTGGTGAGAAGAAGAACAGGGAGTAAGTGAAATAAGCCAGCTTGAAGCTTCTCATGAACAAGGTGGAAATCAATCACAATGTGTTTGGTTCGTTCATGGGAAACAACATTAAATGCTATGTGTCTAGCAGATTGGTTATCACAATAAAAGAGGGCTGGAGCAGTAAAGGGAACCTAGAAGTCTTGAAGCAAGTAAGTTAACCATTAAATTTCACAAGTTGTGGCAGCAAGAGCACGATATTCTACTTCGGAAGAGGATCTTGAAACGGTGGACTATTTTTTGCACTTCCAAGAGATGAGGGAATTTCCTAGGAAACAGAATAGCTAGAGAGAGACCTTCTAGTATCCGGACAAGAAGCCCAGTTTGAATCAGTAAAGGCTTTGAGTTGAAGAGGGGAATCTGCTAGATAAAACAAGCCTTGTCTAGGATTGCCCTTGAGGTATTTGAGTACCCTGATGGCAGCTTGATAATGAGACTGTTGAGGACAGGATAAAAACTGACTTAGTTGCTGGACAAAATAGCTGATATCGGGTCTAGTTGTGGTGAGATACAAAAGTTTTCCAATGAGCCTTCTATACCCAGCTGGATCTTTATAAGGAGAATCAGTGGTGTGGCTGAGTCTTGTAGCTTTAATTATGGGAGTAAGAACTGGTTTACCTGGAAGAAAGCCAGTTTCATCAAGTAAGTCTAACGTGTATTTTTGTTGAGAAAGGGAAATGCCAAGATGGGACCTAGCAATTTCCAAAATAAGAAAATATCTTAAAGGACCAAGATCTTTAATTTTGAATTTGACATCTAAAGATTGTTTAATGTGATTGATTTCGTCAGAATCTGTTCCAACAATGATAAGATCATCTACATAGATTAAAATCACAGTAAAACGAGTTCCATGATGTTTAGTGAAGAGAGAATGATCATGGTGAGATTGATTGTAATGCAAAGATAGTAAAAATGAAGAAAGTTTAGCAAACCATTGTCTGCTAGCTTGCTTCAAACCATAAAGGGATTTGTTGAGTTTACAAACATGATTAGGTTTATCAATGTTAAGACCTTGGGGTATCTCCATGTAAACTTCCTCAAGCAAATCCCCATGAAGAAAAGCATTATTAACATCAAGTTGATGAAGTTCCCAATGTTGACAAGAAGCAATAGCAAGTAACATTCTAACCGTGCTTAATTTTGCAACTGGGGCAAAAGTATTAAAATAGTCTAAACCTTGGATTTGAGTATACCCTTTTACAACCAACCGAGCCTTATACCTTTCAATTGAGCCATCAGATTTGTACTTAATTTTATATACCCATTTGGAACCAATGGGTGTCTTTCTAGGAGGTAAAGGCATAATAGTCCAAGTTCAGCTTGCATGGCTTTAACCCACACCTTATTTTTAACAGCTTAATGAAAAGTATGAGGTTCAACATGGGTAGTGACTGAGAGAGCACACCTGGAATATGAATATGAAAGGGAATCATAGGCCAAAATAGAATTAAGAGGGTACCTGATGTGTTTATCTTTTGGTGGTGGCACACCAATCAACAAGTTGCAATGATAGTCTTTGAGATAAGCAGGATGACATTTATGTCTAGTAGATTTCCTTAGTTGTGAAGGAGATGATGTTTCAGAGGGGTGAGCAGATTCATCAATGTCATTAAGATCATTTTCATAATGAGCAGAATCAATATCAAGGAGAGAAGAATTATCAACAGTAGTGACAGGATGAGATGATGAATCAAAGTATAGAAAATCAAAGCAAGCATCATTTTGTTGTTGTGAATTAGTGGTAACAGTAGAACCTTTTTCAAAAAAGGGAAATATATGTTCATAAAAGACAACATTTCTAGAAACAAAAATGTTTCTGGTTAAGAAATCAAGAACCACAAAACCCTTAGTGCCTTGTTTGGAACCAAGATAAACTCCTTTAGTGGCTCTAGGATCCAATTTGGATCTGCCTTTAACCAAAGTGCTAGCATAACATAAGCTACCAAACACCTTTAAGTCTAATAATGTAGGTGGTCTATCATACAACATTTGATAAGGTGAAAAATCATTTAAAACAGGTGAGGGAAGCCTATTTATCAAGTGAATAAAATGACTAACAGCATAGCACCAAAAAGATTTAGGAACACTAGAATGGAAAAAAGAAAAGTTCTAGTTATGTTTAGAATGTGTCTATGTTTTCTTTCCACAACAGAATTTTGTTGTGGAGTAGTTTCAACACAAGAGGTTTGATGAACAATCCCATAGGTAGCATAAAGTTGATCCATTGCAAATTCAACACCATTATCAGATCTTATTACCTTAATGTGTTTAGTAAATTGAGTTTGGACATAGGAAATGAAGTTTTGAATCAGATTTCTGGTTTCACTTTTTGATTTCATGAAATAAATCCAAGTATGCCTAGAATAGTCATCTACAATAGTAAGAAAGTACTTATAACCATGTATAGAGGGAATAACAAGGGGGCCCCAAATATCCATATGAACAAGATCAAAGCAAGATAAACTTTTAGTAGTGCTAGTAGGAAAAGGTAATCTAGCTTGCTTGCCAAAATGATAATAATCACAAGTAACATTTTTGTTGTAAGTCACATAAGCAAAATGTCTTTTCACAGTTTGTAAATCAACATGAGAAGGGTGACCAAGCCTATAGTTCCAAAGATCAAAGGAAGAAGTAGTGGCCTTTGGTTGAACATTCAAAACAGAATTAGATTTACACGCTGAAACAGAATTATCCTTGGAAGAAGGTTGTAGAATGTAAAGGTGATTTTTGACCTCAGTAAGCCCAATCATTTTCTTGGAAGTGAGGTCCTATATGATGAAAGAATTCTTGTTAAATATGAGTTTATAATCTAAGGAGGCAGCAATCCTTGGCACAGATATGATGTTGAGATGAAAGTTGGGTATGTTTAGAACATCATTAAGGAAAA